TAGTCCCAGCTACTCGGGAGGCTGAGGCAGGAGAATGGCGTAAACCCGGGAGGCGGAGCTTGCAGTGAGCTGAGATCGCACCACTGCACTTTAGTCTGGGCGACAGAGCGAGACTCCGTCTCAAAAAAAAATAAAAAGAAAAAAGAAAAAAGAAAAATCCTCTTTGCTGGGCATGGTGACTTATGCTTGTAATCTCAGCACTTTAGGAGGTCAAGGTGGGAGGATCACTTAAGGCCAGGAGTTTGAGACCAGCCTGGACAACACAGTGGGACCCCATCTCTAAAAAAATTTGTTTTTAATTAGCCAGGCATGGTGATGCACACCTATAGTCCCAGGTACTTGAGAGGCTCCGCCAGGAGGATTGCTTGAACCTGGGATTTCGAGGCTGCAATAAGCCATGATTACAGCACTGTACTCCAGCCTGGGTAACAGAGAAAGATCCCAACACAAAAAGGAAGGAAGGAAGGAAGGAAGGAAAGAAGGAAGGAAGGAAGGAAGGAAGGAAGGAAGGAAGGAAGGAAGGAAGGGAGGGAGGGAGGGAGGGAGGGACAAACGAAAGGAAAGAAAGAAAGAAAGAAAGAGAGAGAGAGAGAGAAAGAGAGAAAGAAAGAAAGAAAGAAAAAGAAAGAAAGAAAGAAAGAAAGAAAGAAAGAAAGAAAGAAAGAAAGAAAGAAAGAAAGAAAGAAAGAAAGAAAGAAAGAGAGAGAGAGAGAGGGAGGAAGGGAGGGAGGCAGGGAAAAGAAAAGAAAAAGCTCTTATTTGTACTGATCCAAACTCTCCCACTTTCAAATGTACCTATTGGGCTTGGTTCTATTTAACAGAACCACACCTAGTAGATCCAATGCTTTTTTCAACATCGCACTTCTTGAAATGTTAGGATACAGCCCCATACCACTTCCCTTTACATATTCTCTGAGCTCAGTTGTCTCAGGTCCTCTGAGTTCCTTGCATCAGGCTTTTCTTTGCCCTTCTGGGGACCCTCACCAACACACACTCCAATTTGCCAGAATATCTCAGAAAATGTTGCTCCCAGGATGCAATGCATGGTTCTGGAGACCATGCCAAGGGTAAATGTGTGGCAGTGACCTTTCCTGTGCTGGGCCCAAGCTGCTGAGGATTCTCCCTGAGCCTGCAGAGAAATGCAAGATTTGTCTGCCTGTGCTGCTTCTTTGTCTGTCCTTGGATGATGATGGATGATACGGGGCTTAAGGGTAGGGTTTTACATCCATCTCCACTGAATTTCATTCCTTATTTGGACATCTCCCAGCCCAGCAAAATTGCAAAATCTTTTTGAATCTCAATTGCATTGTCTCATGAATGATGATAGCACACAGATTGAAGTCATCCACTAACTTAACATGCAGGTCTTTCTTTTCTTCATCCAAGTCATTAATAAGTTCTACAATAAATAGCCAATAGCAGAGCTCTACGGCATGCCAATAGAGACCCTCTCTAGGCTGGCAATCTCATTTAAATCTTGCTGAAATGTTTTCATTCATTTCTAGTTTATAGTAAGGCTTTGTTGTATCATGCACACCATGCATTTCCCAAGCTCAGGGCCCAATTGTGTTACTCTTCACACTTTCTCTCTGAGTAGTAATTTTAAGGGAGTATCACTAAAGAAATCTGATCTTATAGCCCCCAAAGACACATGCAAATTATCAATCCTACCCCTTTGCTCATGCAGTTATCCTCAACTGGACTGCCTTCCTCCTTTTCTGCGTGGGTTCAGCTCAAGCCCACCACCTCCAGGAAGGCTTCCCTGACCACAGTACCTACAGGAACCACATCTTTTATTATGTGTTCTATTCTATTTTGTATCATATTCAATCTCACTCATATTAAGTAATGTCTCTCCCCAAAGATCAGAAATGTAAAGGACCTAGGAACTTCTGCTACTCCTCTCCTCTACCCCCGCCTGATGCACCACACCACCAGCATCCACATGCTCAGTGATTCCTCAGCCCTCATCCTCTGCTTTCTCTTTAACTCCACCCTTTCCTTTATAATGGACTCTCGGCATCTTCCTCCCTTTCAGAAGCAAGGGGTCTGGTGGGGCTGCCTATAGAGTCTATCTGAGCCATTCCCCAGGCAGGCTCCCAGGGTGTTCTGGAGCACTCTCCAGGGCAGCAGGCTGTTCTGGGGCCATGTGGCTTCACCAGTATACCGGCCCCATTCTGCCTCCATCCTCCTCCCTGCCTCCCACTCCCAAGCCCTCATGCCCTCCTCTGGCCTCTGACAAGCTCTAGTTCTGGAGTCAGAATTCTGTCTACAAACCCAGCAATAAGCCCTCCATGGGCAAGGGGAGAATCTGGATGGGAGGATGGGATGGAAGCCGAGGCATCAAGGAAATCCTGCAGGCAGTAGAGGGATGAGAAAAGCTGCAGCACACACACATGTCTGCAAACACACACTCACACACTCACACACACACATGCACAGAGTCACACATGTGTCCGCAAACACACACTTTCATACACACTCACACACACTCTCGCACACATATACACTCACACTCACACACATAGACACCCACACACTCACACACATGCACAGAGTCACACGTGTCCGCAAACACACTTTCATACACACTCACACACACTCTCGTGCACATACACACTCACACACACGCTCATACACAGCCACACACACGTCTGCAAACACATATTCACTCTCATACACACACTCACACATGTACACACTCACACACTGTCATACAGTCACACAGTCATACACACATACACACACCTCACACACTCAGTCACACACACTCACAGACTCACATCCACACTCCACACCTTCACTTTCACAGAAACACTCACACTCACACACACTCCACCCTGCAGCTGGAAACGCCCTTCACTTTCAAGTAAAATGGAGAGTACGTTTGAGTAGTTCCAACATGCTAACAACATTTTAAGTAGATTCCGAAGGACAAGAAGCCCTCTTCCTTTGGTAGAATATTCCAAGCTGCCTTTCTACATATACTTAATTCCACAGCAAGAGGCTCTGAGCTTCACGGCTTTGTCTCTGGAAGCCGTGTGTGCGCAGCCCTGTGGCCTGAGGCTTCCCTGAGGTCCCCTGCCCTCCCCCAACCCCTGCTCAGAGTCGTCAGAGCTTCCCGTCACAGGTGCCCCACGGGCCCCTCATCTGCCTTCTCCACAGGGACTTTCTCTTCCAGGATTTAAGCTTTTCTTATAAACCGGCTGAGGGACTTTTATTGAGCTGAGAGAATAACAAGAGAAGAAGTCAAAATCTTTAGGTGAGACCAGTCCTGTGAAAATAAAAAGAGGAGCTGGGAGGGAAGAAAGAAGAGGCCAGAGAACACCGAATAGCAGCAAAAGGGGGAAGAAATGAAACCCACCTCACACCCAGAAGAAATTCCTGGAGTAAATGCAAACAAAAAGCAAGCAAAGACCATTAAACCCTTCATTATTTCCAAACATATGACCCGTCCAGCTCTAATTCTGCCAAGTTCCAAATCCTTTGCTACAGGAGGGTTTGAGGTTGCTGTACTCCCTCTCTGGGTATTTGCCGGGACAGTTTCAAAGCAGACACCTAAAAATTAGAGGTGGTGAAATCACTGTGGATCCCAGTTCTGCCTCAGAAATGAAGCTGCCTAAGGCAATGGATCTCAAGTAGGGCAACTGTGGCAGTCAGCAGGGGACACTGGCAGTGTATGGAGACAGCTTGGGTTATCACAGCTGGTGGGGGGTGCTACTACATCATGTGGCTAGAGGACAAGGATGCTGCTCAACATCCAACAGCACAGAGGACAGACCCCCCAACAACCAGGAATTATGCTGCCCCACGCATCAACAGTGTTGAGGCTGAGAAACCCTGTTCTGGGCATCTAGGAGCAAGTGACTGGGATCAAGGGGCTGCCTAGGGATACGCAGGGTCCAGGGTGCCTCTGAGGCTAAAGACAGGATCAAGGACTGGTAAAGAAGTGAGCAGAGATGACAACTATGGTGATAAGGAAAGAAGTAGGAACAGGCCACCAGGAGGCCACAGCCACACACAGACCCCATTTCACAAATTAGAAAACTAAAGCTCTGAGAGGTACAGTGACTTTTCCAAGGTCACACAGACTTGGGATCTGACTCCTAACTTCAAGGTCAACTGCAGCTCTCTTGTAGCATCAACAATTCTGCGTTTGGTTGGCAGGGCCTGGGTCCAGATTTCCCCATGATGGTTACCAGAAGTAAGAGGCTGTAAGATCTCAGTACTTTAGAATAAGTCTACTCCCAAGCCTTCACTGATGCACTTCCCAGCAGAAAAACTGTTACCAGCAAGGGCTGTACAAATGAGTGTCATCATCAGTTTCTAAGCCACATGGGTGCTGGCATGAAGCTTCCTCTTAGAACATGCAATATCTGCAAAACCATGGCGACACACAACACAATCACATTGCCCAAGTCATTCAACAGTTTGTGACATTTGGGGCTCCTCAGGATGGCACTGCTGCTTTCCTTTTCTGACTCAAAATTCTTTCTCAGTCTTACACCTTTGGGGTATCTGGTAGAACCAGTCTGACCCACTTCTGAGCCACCCTTCAGCCTGGGTGAGAGAAGACCCTGCCTATTCACTTTGGTTCTCATTTGTCAGTGTGGACTTTGGCATGCGCCTAGTGTTCAGAGATGAATGCAGGTCGAAATCCCCACGGGAGGTGTGAGCGGGTTGGAGGGATGATTTGAAAGCCCACAGTGAACTCTGAGGTCTACAGACACATGTTAAGACCCGCTTCTCATCACCGTAGTCCAACTGCCAGCAACCACTGCCCAGAAAACTCTATGTGAAGGGGAACCCCAGCCGCTGCCTCTCTGGCTTGGCCTGTGCAGCCTCTTCCCCCATCCTCCCCTCCACAGAGGTCTCGCCTTGACGGACACTCCTAGGCCTTTGGAGATGGAGAACAAGGAAGGGAGGGAGGTGGCCGAAAAACTCCTAAGAGCTGCAGTTGGAGCAAGTTTCTCAGGGCGTTGGAGGCAACAGAGGCTCAAGTGCTCACTTGAGCAGCACATACACTAAAATTGGAATGATACAGGGATTCGCATGGCCCCTGTGCAAGGATAACATGCAAATTCATAAAGTGTTCCATATTTTGTAAAAAACCCAGGAAGACGAAAGAGTAAAAAACAACCCAAAAAACCAGAGGCTCAAGTGCAGGCGGAGTATGTGAGTGAGGTGAGCAGAGAAAAGTGGAAACTCTTGTTGCCCAGGCTGGAGTGAAGTGGCGCAATCTTGGCTCACTGCAACCTCCTCCTCCCAGGTTCAAGCGATTCTCCTGCCTCAGCCTCCCGAGTAGTTGGGACTACAGGCACACGCCACTATACCCGGCTAATTTTTCTATTTTTAGTAGAGATGGGGTTTCGCCATGTTGGCCAGGCTGGTCTTAAACTCCTGGCCTTAGTTGATCCACCCACCTCAGCCTCCCAAAGAGCTTGGATTACAGGCATGAGCCACTGTGCCTGGCCAAAAAGTGGAAACTTTAAACACGTTTGCTCCAAATATCCCCCCTCACGATATGCAAGAAACGCAACTAAAGAGCTTGAGTTACTTTGAGATATTCAGAAATGCAATCCCTGCAGTGTGGGATAGAGGAACAGATGAAGAAAGCCCTTTTGATGCACCACAGTCTCCAGGGAGCAGCAGGCAGTGGCTGTCAGTGGCTGTTTTCTGGGCCCTCTGGTGTCTCCCAATCAGCTGGCCTCACTCCAGATTTGAGGAGGAGGTTCCTATGCATGGTGTCCCCATGCTAGATTGGCCTGGGAGGTCCAGGGGTCCTAACAGGCTGTCATGACCAGAAGCAGTGTGCAAGGTGCTCTGTGCTCAACTCACTGGAGCTTGGCAAAAGGGTTCTTTACACCATTTTTAAACCAGATACCTTGCCTCCAATAGTAGATTTAATCATCCAATGATCCCTACAGCTACAATGCTTTCCTAGAAGGAACAGGGAAGGGATTACTCACATGGTGAGTAATGATTCGGTTCAGAAATGATGTTCCTCTGGTTCTGCAGAAGGTTTGGGATATATTTCCATTTTCCTAAGCCAGTTGCCTGCTTCCTCACACTCACTTGTGACCAGTGACACTTGTGTGGAGATAGTGAAGCTAAGGTGAGGGCTACAGCTCTGGGGTCTGTATACAGGTGGAGCCGCTGTCCTAGCCTCTTTGACCCTGTGTTTCTCAATAAAACTGGCCTTGCTAAGGTGATCTGCCAGTGGTGTGTAATCCTGACCCATTCCTTCAGCCCCACAGAGAGAGAGGCGAAGGGGGTGCTCTTCCATGGAGGGTCTGGGTTTCAGATCAACCCGCCCCATTTCTGGAAAGGGCAGCTGGCAAGACTGTCATGCAACACAGTCTCTGGGTTGGAGAGCAGGCCAGGGACCCTACAGAAGGGGTCTCCACCCCACAGTTCCAAGAGGGATCAGATAGGGGTAAACGTGGCACCACTCTGAAGTTCCCAGGCACCTGGTTCACTCCGTTATCAAATGCAGCAGTAACAGAAAGTGCGAGAGAGCCAACGCTTCAAACAGGTACTTTTCTTGATACTGTCGTAAAGTTCTGTATTTACCTTACCTACTGTGGTAGGCAGCATAATCGATCCACCCCTCACAGAAGTCTACATTCTACTCTCTTGAACCTGTGACTATGTCACCTTACATAGCAAAAGGGATTATGCGGATGTGATTAAGAAGCGTGAGATGGGGAGACTATCCTGGATTATCCAGGCAGACCCAATGCAATCCTAAGGGTCCTTGTAAGTGAAAGAGGGTGTCGGGGAGTCAGAGAAGATGTGACAATGGAAACAGCACCAGAGTAACGCAGCCTGAGAAAGATGCAACTGGCCATTGCTGGCTCTGAAGATGGAAGGAGACCATAAGCCCAGGAACACTGAAGCCTCCGGAAGCTGGAAAAAGCAAGAAAACGAATCTTCTCCAGAACCTCCAGAAGGAAGGCAGCCCTGCTGCCATCTTCATTTTGACCCAATGTGACCTACTTCTGATGTGTGACTGCCAAAACTGTAAGACAGTGTAAAATAGTAAATTTTAAACCACCCAATGTGTGACAGTTTGTTTCAGCAGCAGTAGGAAATTAACATCCTTTCCTTGGGAAATTCCAGGTTTCCCACCGACAGGCAAGGCATGAGATCTTCCTCCTCTCTTTGTGACCCAATGGCAATGCTTGGTATTTGTGAAATGGATCTACTTGACCGTGCTCCATGAAAGATCTTGTCCAAGATCTTGTCCTCTGGATACATATTCAGTCCAGACTTAAACTGATGTTTTTAAAACTAGTTTTTAAAAATATTAAGGCACCTGGCTGGGACTAGGAGCTTCTTCAGGAGTAATGCCTTGGCCATCCAGCAGCACATGTGGTCTGAATATAGATAGGGCCATGCACAAACTGGGAGCCACAGTTCCCCTCTGGGGGCTATTTTGGTAACACGATGCTAGAATCACAATTGCTTCAGGAGCAAGGGGGAAGAAAGAAAGGAGGCAAAGGGCATTACCACTCTTCTGTGGAAATTCTTCAGGATGAAGGCTGGGAGGGACCTTCCGTGACACTAGTCTAGAGATCCTAGCCTCCTTCGAGGGCCCAGCCTTCTTACTTCAGGAAAGAATCTGACATTTATGATTTATGACACACTGTGAATTTATATCGGAAGGTCACCTCTCTGTGGAGTATGTGCATTCTAAATTTGTTCTTTGTTCATTGTCAGAGTTTTAAGATTGCCCTTTTCCTCTCCTCTCCCCAACACACCTCAGAGTCTCCATGTTGTCAGTGCCCCAGAATGGCCTTGCTGAGACAAGCATGGCAGGAGACCTAGCACAATGCCTCATGCCTGTAATTCCAACACTTTGGGAGGCCAAGGCAGGTGGATCACTTGAGTCCAGGAGTCTGAAACTACCCTGAGCAACATGGCAAAACCCCATCTCTACAAAACTACAAAAATGGCCGGGCGCGGTGGCTCATGCCTGTAATTCCAGCACTTGGGAGGCCGAGGTGGGTGAATTATGAGGTCAGGAGTATGAGACCAGCCTGGCCAACATGGTGAAACCCTGTCTCTACTAAAAATACAAAAAATTAGCTGGGCGTAGTGGCGGGCACCTGTGGTCCCAGCTATTTGGGAGGCTGAGGCAGGAGAATCTCTAGAACCCAGGAGGCAGAGGTTGCAGTGAGCCGAGATTGTGCCACTGCACTCCAGCCTGGGCAACAGAGTGAGACTCTGTCTCAAAACAAACAAAACAAAAGACAAAATTAAGGGCAGAGGTGGGAAGATTGCTTGAGCCTGGGAGATGGAGGCTGCAGCAAGCCATGATCATGCCATCGCACTCCAGCCTGGGCAACAGAGCAAGATCCTGTCTCAAAAAAATAAGAAAGTATGGCAGGAAAGAGCTAAACTAAAATCTTTAATTATGCACACCAACCCCGACAAAGACAAGAACATGGAACGGTGGCCCATTCCAATCAAAAAGATCCTCGGATGCTTTTGAGGCCAGTTCCTGGTATGGCGCAGCCCCAGGTCCCAACTGCAGGATTACGCAGGTGTACGCATGAGGGTGGAGGGAAAAGGAATGGCTTAGGATAAATCCTAGGCTTCTGATTTGAGTGATGGGAAAGATGTTTCGCTCCATTAACTACAGTCTGAAGACAATGAGAAGAGAAAGTCTCTGGGTAAATGGATAACACTCTTTTCTGGATGTGGTACATCACAACAGCCTGCAGTGGACCCATGGGGAAACAGCTCAGCAGACACTGAAGTTATGGGGTCTAGGATCCAGGACAGAGGGCCTGACTGGAGTAATCGATGTTGGGAGCTGATGCTGGGAGAACAGATTAATAGATTAAGTCTCCTAGGGTGAGAAAAAAAAAAAAGGGCAGAGTTTGAAACACTCGTCACCACCAACATTTAAGGAAATAGAGGGTAGAAGGCTAACAAAGAAATGGAGAAAAGAAAATTGGTGAAGAAGATCAGGAAAACTAGGAAATGTGGTCTTTTAGAAGCAAAAGAGGGGAAAGCTTTAAGAAGAGATGGGTCCAAAGTGTCAAATGTTCTAACAAGGTAAAGGATCCAGGACCAGAAAGAGGGTCCTGGATAGGGCAGTGCCAGGGCACAGGTGGCTGCAGTGGGAGCAGCTTCTGTAGGGGGGGGTGTGTGTGTATACATGCACGCTGGGTACATGTGTGGATGTGTGTGTCTGTGTGCGCATATATGTGTGTCAGGTGGAGAGGAGGTAGCAGAAATTAAATCACAGAGGATTGGGAAATAACCAGGAACCGGGGACACAGAGACAACAGGTGTAACTACTCTTTTTTAAGAAGTAAGGATGTTAAAGGATAACTTTGGAGGGGAAAAAAAAAAAAAAAAGCAAAACAAGAAGCACGGATGTAAGGGAAGGAAAGAAATGGAGCAAGAACTTGAAAGTGAATCGGGGTCCAGAAGAGGCTTTGTTTTGTTTTATAATGAAAGAAACTTGAGCTAGAGAATCACCTGGTGGATGAGGGAGGAACGAACATGTGTGTGAGCAAACAGTGAGAACACTGGGCTGGAAGGACCTGGCAGAAATTAGACATGAGTGTTGCTGAAATCGTGATAAAGAGAACAGTGATGTCATCACCCCCACTTTCGTGCAAGGGCAGAGGTGGTGTGGCTCTCAGGTGGCTTGTCCCTACCACGGTCTCACCTCATGGAGCTTGTCAGCCTTCTGGGTCTGCTTCTTCCGACTTCTCTGAGCAGCAACTCGGTTTTTTTCTCTCCTTCGGACCTTCCTGTCATCATCCTCAGGGCTCTGGGGAAAAACATTGGGTGGGCGTGATGTCGTGGCCCCTCGCCTTACCCTTCTCTGCCCTGTCTCGTCACTCAGTGTTGTTCACAGAGCTTCACCATTTGCTTTGCAGTAGACAGCAGCACTAGTTGCTACACCAAAGGGCTCACAACAGCCCCTTGCCCAGGAGCACTCACCATGTGAGTGTGTGAAGTGTGTGGTGTGACTGCTGTTTAAAAGATGAGGAATAAGAAACTCAGAGGGGTTAAGGACCTTGCTCCAGGTATTACAGCCACCAAGTGGGTGAGTGGGAAGTGGAACTCAGGTCTGTTGGT